GTGTGCCCGTGCTTGTGCTCGTGCATGAACTGTACCGTGTCGAAGCACACCTCTTCCAAGCGTGCTAGAGCCAAGGAAGTGTACCGCGCTTGAGCACGGTAGGGAGCGCTCACAAGGAGTGAGTGCGCCCTTAGAAGATTCAGCTTTGAGCAAATGATAACATATAAAAGCATGGTTATAATAATTGGTTCATTTGATAATATAAACGGGAATTCAGAGACCATTTATTTACTGAGAAATACTTGAAAGGACCTGGCTTAAAGACTTGGAAAATTGGCTTTGGCTGCTGTGGAACTCAATAACACACTCACTTAAGATCATCTCAGAGAACACGCAAAAAAAAATAGTTCTCACTAAAATATGCTTATCGTGGCATCTTCTGTAAGTCATAGCACCCCCTCGGTTTATTTTGGTTTCAAGCTAGAAAAACAAGACTTCAATAATAAGTGATAACATTAAGGTCTGGTGGTATTCCTCTGGAGTTTTCCAAATCTAATTTGACAAGCAACGACAGCCACATGACATCCATGAGAGCCGACGCTAATGGGCTTCATGGGATACCCGTACAACAATGGCTGCCAACATGTGGACGGAAAGACCCCCACGGTCAGGTCATTGGAGGTTATATTTGGAAGACAACACCTGACCCAATCTGCACTCCTCTATCACTTTCAGATGATGGAGACGTAATCAATAAGGATTATTTGTTAATGAATTACTTGCACTTTTAAAAGCCAGAGAACCATTTTTGCCAGTAAATAAAATGTTTATCAATACACAAGAATGTGTATTTATGTTGGCAGATAGTCCTACTTTATTAGTACTGGAAACTACATTTTCAGCACAGTGTAACAGTATGTAAGCAGGATCATCTTATGTATTATTCTTCTGTTTGGTCTGTTGTTAAATTATTTAGATTAGCTAACATGGCATCACATATACTTAGAAATGTTAATCAACATTATAGTCTGGTTGGGTTCTGCTATCGCATTTAATCCAAATTCAAACAGCATCAGAAGAAACGTCCTCAAGGGCTTTGGCAGAGATGGAATCACATTGTGGATGGACAGAAAGAAAAACCCTCTCCACTCTTCTCTGGTTTGTCAGATTAACCCATCAGCTTTCCCCATCTGCCTGCCACTCAAACCAGTACAATGAGCCCTTGGCCAGGCTGGGGTCATTAAAAAACCATCAACAAAGCAACGACCCTCCAGGGATTGCCAGGGGCAGCCTAATCCGGACCCCAGTACCGACCCAATGGGTGGTCTCTCTCTCTTTCTCGCTCTCTCCCTTTAAGTCTACCTCCCTCTAACTCTCTCTGAGGGTGAAATATGTGCAACATGGTAGGTGGGTGATGCTGATGGGGCCAACAGTCACATGTAACCATGCATGTGCTAGTGCAGCCAGACGCCATCGCACACTTTTTAGTTAAATACACAGAGAAAGCAGATTTTTGGTCAATGACATATTAACAGCCCCCACTCGTTGCTAGGTGAGAAAGCAAACTCATTGCAAAAAGAGAAGTTGGAGCAGTTGTGGTAAATCATCAGCAGAAAGAACAAGAGTACTGCTTTCAGTAAGTGACACTGGGAAGAGAAAAAAGGAGCAAGGGACTCTTTTTTGACGACTTTATGCAAATGCTTAAGGCAGCTATGTTGTCATTTTAGAAGTGCTAAATGAATCACTTTGAAAGTGAGAGAGAAGTGCCCCATTCGCTTAAGAAACAGCAGTTCTCCAAAGCCCATCTGTGTGCCAGTAACGGTGGCCTTCAGTGACTAAATAAGCAACTGCTTGTCTGTTGGGCAAAGGGGAAGATCATCTTTAACACTGTGTGTTGATGTACATGTGTCCATCTCTCAATCCGCTTTTATTAGCAAGAGGAAACACTGAATGGATGAAGGGACGTTTTGGGTGTCTTTATATGTATGTGTGTGTGTGTGTGTGTGTGTGTGTGTGTGTGTGTGTGTGTGTGTGTGTGTGTGTGTGTGTGTGTGTGTGTGTGGGGACTGATAGGGGGATTCCAGACAGGGCAGCATTAGCTTTAGACCCTGTGCTCACATTGCAGCACTCTCCTGCGCAAACGCACACACATCCTCCGTCTCACTCTTGGGCCCCAAGGAAGGAAATGAGTGTGTGTTGTGTGTGCGTGAGTAGTTTCGGGTACTTAGTTTCTCCCAGTTATTACTATAGGTGAATTCCCTTATAATTAATCTGCCTTTGACAAAATTACCCCTGTCGAGTCATAACAGAAAAACATTAACTCAACAAAGAAAAAGAAACGTGCCTGCTTTCCTGCTAGGATAATAACTTTGTCAATAACCGCGTCATTTCATTTCAATCAGCAGTGATCAAATATCTGAATCAGTTCCAATCCAATCTGAATAATCATTAACAAAATTAAATTTAAACGTTCCTGGAGTCTAATGTTTGGCTCATATCAGGTATGGAAAAGAGAGGGATACTGTTCTGATAATGAGTGTAGAATATTAAGCTTAGATTTGATTACTTCTTAAATAGCCCACAGCGACTGTTTCCTAGTGTGCCAAGAAAACAATGAATTAATACATTTAATCAGTGATCTTAGGTCAATACCAATCGTATGCAAGAAAAGGTTTCAAACTCAAAAGCAGTCTGCATTTTCAAGGAGAACCTTATAAAACTCTTATTGAGCAGACAAAGGCACAGGCGTGTGTGTGTCAGTCTTTTCACATCGTGAGAGCAGCATCAAAGTTTGCATTCCATCCCAAAGGACGTTTGTTTACTTTAGATGGGCAGATGCTCCATTAGTGGAGGAGCGTGGCTAAAGTTCTCTTATTAGCTTTGCGTACTTGGCATCACCAAAGTTTCATGGCTCTAAAACTACAACCCCCATCTGGCTTCTGATCATTCTCATGCTTCAAAAGCAGATCTGGTGAGTAACGTTTACATTTACTCGTCCGTCCCAGTTTCTTTCAAATTATAATCCATCTTCTTGAACTGAAACAGCACTTCTAGCGTGAAAGGTTGATGGAAAGACCGGTACTAATATCCAATCCTCCATGAAAAAAACATGACAAGAAAAAAGAAAATCTTAGTTTTATCATTAAGCAAACTGATATACAATATACTGAAATGTATAAACAAAACATTTCTGAATAGTAATATAATTCAAGATAATTAGCAAAAAAAAAAATCTATGCCATGGAAGCAAATATATGTGTGAAAGTGACGCATCAAAAAACTCTCTTTGTAATTAAAGCTTATAACAACATAATGAGAAGTAGCCTGCTCCCTTAATCTTAAACGTCTCATCTTTCTCTATCTTCAAGTCTTCCAAAGACTCCTTTCAGTCTCTCTCTACATTTTATCTGGTCATCAGAGCCCACAGCTCACCAGTTGGACATCAAAGTACCGACAGTGGGAAGGGAGGGGTGTCCGTCTCTCCTCGTCTGTCCCATCCCCGTCTGCAGCAGCCACTGAGGGATTCCTGAGACGGACCGCGGGGGCGCCTGGCTCTCATTTTACACAGAGAAACCCTATCATTCTGCCTGATGCTGCAGAGCTGCTCGCTGATGCCCTGTAAGTGCCCGCAACGTCACTTTAGACGCTTTTCATCTCAGTCTCCAGAGACGGGCGGATAGTTCAAGGCGGTGTGTCAGTGTGTTGGTTTGTGTGCGTCTGGACCAAAGATGTGATTGGCAAAGGACGAAAAAAGCCTGAACAATACCCACCCATCCCGCACGCACTGCCTAGGTGTGCCAGCCCAAAATGTATGTTTATTTAATATATATATTTTTTTAAAATACTGTTTGTAACTTTCTTAATGTCATTTATTGTATTGTAAGTGCATTCACATACATTTTTTTTTGTAAAAATGTGTGCCTTTACTTCACCACTTTATAAAGATCCCTTCTTGGATCATCTTTGGTTTCTTTTAAAAACTCTACTGCTGTTAATGCAAATTTATGCAAGGATTATATCACTTATCTAAATGCTTTTACAAACATGCCAACTTTAACAGTACTTGTGTTTCTCCACTATTTCAGCCATAGCCTGCAGCTGTATACAAGTAGGCAATTTATAGTTCATATTTCGTTTTTGCATGGCATAACTGAGTTAATTAATCTTAAATTAACTTGTAACAATGCCAAAAAGAGAGAGAGGTCGTAAGATGGAGAGAGAGAGAGAGAGAGAGAGAGAGAGAGAGAGAAAGAGACAGAGAGCTGATCTGCTGCTGACTGAAATCCCTTTGAGCAGCACGCACAAAAATAAATGAAAATGGCCCGCTTAATAACCCAGATTTTATTAAACAAACCAAGGTCCAGACTTTGCTAACCTCACTGTCTCCCTCTGTTTCTCTCTGCCTGTTTGACGATCTTTATTAGCAGTAGGCATATATTTTATTATGTCGCCAAAACAACACAATTCCGGTTTTAAAAAGTTTCACTCCAGAATCGGTTCTCACATCAGATGAGTCCTCTGTGAGAATGCTTGTTGTAAAGACTATATGCACAATAGCATTGGCAAATATCTGCACAAAAGCATTAAAGGTAGAGTCAGTAGCAACTATTCATTATTCTGAATACTTGGGTGAAAATAAGCTCTTAAAAAGATTAAGGTACTAGCAAGACAATTGTGTTTTGTTGCATTTAGCATATATATCAGTGGACAGAACACCTTAAACTTAACTTAAATTTCCTCTGTAGCAAGCATGACAGAATTTGGAGGACACGGATGTAGTACTTAGTACTAATTACTTTATGTAGGTGGAAATTAACCAAACTCTTATTGCGTCAGAGCCTGTGCACTATATGACAACACAAACTAATATTTGAGGTCATGCAACATTGCCCTTTCCAAGTCTATTTTTGTCTGCGACCCAGTTTAAACATCCTGCAACCCACTTTTTCAGTCTTTCTTCTTCAGCTGAGTTAACAGTGTTTGTGTTTAGTCACTCTGCTTAAAAGAGACTTTTGGATGAGAAAAACTGAATTCAGATATTCAAAAACGACATAACTCACCACAGAAGTGAGCGCCATCTGAAAGCTGTAGATGCGAGCGAGGCCGAAGTCGGCCAGTTTGATCTGTCCTGCGCTGGTGACCAGGATGTTCTGCGGCTTTAGGTCACGGTGAACCACGCGGTGTGAGTGCAGGAAGTCCAGCCCCTGGAGAAGCTGGTACATCATATCCTGCAAAGAGAACAGAATGGGAAAAAAGAGAGAGAGTGATGGATAATTATGACAATGACAACAATTCATATGATCAAATAGGTAAAATTGGTTCTGAGCTTTTGGATAGTGGTGACAGAAAATGACACTTGAACAGTCAAGAATTTGATTTAGCGAAAATAATAAGCTCCAACGCTCACATCTGTACGTCAGAATTTGAATTTGTCCCTGTCAAGCCAGGCAACAAAAGGCCAGAATGACAGGTTCATGCAGTGAGAACTTAAGCACAAAAGGCAGAGACACTGTGGCAAGGGGGGAGTTAACTAGAGGAGGCCTGACTTTTCTTGTCAACTGTAGCAGATGTTCGATAACCAACAGACAGCGAGGGGCCCTGCTCTGTACAAGCATGGCTCTCTCTATTATAGCAGCTGTCCTAATTCAGTTAATCAGCTCTTGTTGTCTTTTTTTTATGCCCAAAATCTGACCTCAGAATGGCCATAGGCTCTGACTGCCTCCATGACAGACAAGCACAAGTAGACTGGTGTGTGAACAGCAGTCAACTATGTTAAAACCAGCTAAGACTTGTTCTATTCAAACTGAAATACTCTCAAACAGGTCCTGCACCTGTAAACAAGTACAAGTCATTAACAGGGGATTGTGGCCAGGTGGTTTTGGCAGAGCTGGAGTTTGGATTGTTTGGTTAAAATCTTATAGAGTCCTTTCAGGTGAAAGCCTTATGACAAATACAAATAAATAGGGAGATTACGCAGGTAATAAATGAGCTTCCACAGTCATTTGATCGGTCAGAAAACTAAAAGGCAAAAACAGATATTTGTGAATTGTAATACTGTGATGCTGGTGGGGGTTTGTTGCATCTTGGGCTGTACACCCCCCTCCAAAACACACACACACACACTCTCTCCGCCAAGACCTCACAAGTGACATGGACCTGAGCCCGCAGCGCTATTCACTGGCTGACCAGCTGGTGAGTGAGTCAAAGGGGTCTGCACACTCAAGCAGAAAACATTAGCAAACGGCGCGGGGCTGGCTGCTGTGCTGGCCATGGAAGAAGAGACAGGGCGCCACACACAATGCTGCGGAGACAGGGTGTGGGGTGTGATGTGTGTGTGTGTGTGTGTTGTGTGTGTTTGTAAACACACAGTGTCCCTCTCGGTTGATGTAAGTGTGTACAACATTATTTGTTCGAATGTGCACCTCAGACTGTGTAAGGGTGCATCTGTGTGTGTGTGTGTGTGTGTGTGTGTGTGTGTGTGTGTGTGTGTGTGTGTGTGTGTGTGTAAGCATGTGTGTGTGTGTGTGCCTCTGACCAAGGGCAAGCAGGATGCATGAACAGACCTTCCTTTCTACATCTCCATCCAGCCATGACCCGGTGAGGAGGGCAGCAGACAGACAGAGCCATAGGAGAGAGGCAGGCAGTTGGTTATTTTGTGTGTGTGTGTGTGTGTGTGTGTGTTCTGGGGGGGTGCCTGACACAATAGCAGCCCCCCCACCACACCACCAGTTCCTCTCTGCTTTAAATAGCCATTTTGCCGTGCTTCCTTTCAACAGCATTTCCTAGTAAACACTAATTATCTCAGAAGTGTGACTTTTAGACAAACATGCAAACAACACTGTGCCCCCCTCTGCCTGAGTGTCATCTCTTCTGCTGTATCAATTACTGTCACAGCTGAGTAACATTCAAATGATCAACTGCTAGTTGGCTGCATTTGAAAATGGGAAATCCCACGTTTAGCTATGTGTAACTAATATCTTAATAAATACAGTCACACAGTTTAATACCTCGTGTTACACAAAGACATTTTCTTTACATCATCTCAGCCACAAAATATTGAACCAAGCAGCAACAAAACTCACGTAAGTTGCATGGCACACAAAAGTCTTTAAACCCAAACTTCAACCTTTTAATCTCGGCATACAACTTGGCCAGGAAGAAAAATCACAATAGGTGACACATATGACCCTAAAAAAAGGCAGAAGGACCAAAAAAAGTAGTCATCTCTCCGCAAGATGCAGTCAAAACATGGCTTACTGGGTTCGCCCCCTTTTCTGATGCAAATGCACCAGAGGCAGCCATATTGTTTATTGTAGCCAGGCACAATATGGGACATCTGCCGGTTAGCGTTAGTGTAATTCCCTCCCCATGCTTCATTAACCTCCCCCTTTATGGGCCCAGAGAATAGAGCTATGGAAGCTTGCAGAGTGGCGGCGGAGGAGGGTGGGTGAGACCCAAGCGCTTGCCCGGCTGAGGAGCACTGAGGCCGGGGCAGACTGGCTGCTTGATGTCATTCCAGCTCATTTGATTCCTGGAGGAGGACCTCTTTCATCAATGACCATGTGGTGGGTCTTGAGTCTGAGTAAGGCAGAGTGGTGGGTGGGTGGTGGAGGGAGGGGGCGTGCAGTGGACAGGCTGGGGAGAGTCTGGTTTTCAGGGGAAGTATGTCTGTTGTTTTTGGTGTGACTGCTTTTTCTTAGTTCTTCGTATTCAAAGTTGAGTCTCAGAAAGGTGGACGTTATATCTGATAGGCACAGGTATGTTGTGCTGTGAAAGCTGGACTGAGATACACTATCTGGTGACATCTGCCAAGACCACATTAGGCTGTTGGGGAGGGGGGGGGGGGGGGGGGCTGTCCTACAACAAGGGATGGTGCCAGTGTCTTCATGTCACTCCGACTTTGTCCTTTTGTCCCCTAAAGGCCATATGGATGTTAGGGAAAGCTTAAGAAGGAGGTCTTTAGGGGTCAGTATGCTTCAAACGAAGTGCTTGAGGGATTGCAACATCAGAATTTGAGGGGGAAACTATCATTTTTTCTTATAGTTCTGACACTAGCAATCTTAAAAAAAAAAAAAAAGTGTTTGGTAGGTTTGTGGAAAAATGAAAGTAAACCAGATCTGAGATTAAATCTTTGGCTGTTTTAAAGAAAGGAATATCAAAATAAACCTGCTACAGAAAACTACTACTATTTATGTGTATGATCAAGTATGACAACATGAATGCCTGTGAAAAAAGACCATACAACAATAAGAGGGGTTTTCCCATTTTAAATAATACATGTGGGACTTTCTCAACGACAAAGAATAAAACAGTTCTCAAACCTTCAGATTGCTTTCTTAACAATGAACCTAAATATTTTTCATTTACAATGATGGAAACTTATTTGATAAGTAAATCCTCATACAAAAAGAAGTGGAGACAAGCTATCATTCATCATGAAAAATGACTGACTTCTAAGGCTCCAATGAACAACTTTTGCCAGCAATTTCCTCCATTTTTTTATTCACTATTCATGTATTGTTTTACCTTTAAAATGCAAGAGTGGGGACAAGGTGACTTATCTACATTCTGTTAATCAACAGTCCAAAAACAAACACACAGAGCAGATCTTCACATTTGAAAAGTACTTGGAAAAAGGACAGATGTTTGCAGAAATATGTTGTGTTTACTTTTACTTTTACTGTACAGCCTAATAATCAGAGTATTTAAAGCTACAAATAATTTCACAATGGCTGAGAATTTATGTCCAATGTCAAAAAGCAGTGTCAGTGTTTCATTAGAGGTATTATATCTCGAGCACACCACCATTATTATCCACACAATCATCATTGGGTGAATATCCAATCTACTGTACTGCACAGTGTATCATCTTCAGAGAAAGACATGGGAATGCCTCAGGTGTGATCTACCTGACTCACCTTCACTTGCACAGCATCCCGTCGACATTACAGCTCGACACAAAATGATGGCACATAAACCCAGCCCTCAGGTGAAAACAAACGGCTTGACTCTAGCATCAAGAACTTCTCTGTTTCAAATACGAAACTTTAAACTCTGAGGCCCCCTCTGTCCAAAAATAGAGATTTCCTTTTCCGATATTGTGCACGATACATTTACAGACCTTGGGGTGAAACACGATGAAGAGATTTTTAAAAAAGAATTGAGTGTGGGAAAAATGGAAATAAAGAGAGAAAAGGGATTGTGGAAAAAATCAATTTCCGACCTTTTGGCAAAGAGAAAACAGATACTCTGTGAATTGATTTATGGAGAAATGTTATATCTGTTGTGAGTTTGAATGACTTGATGGTACAGACATTAAACTTGCAGCTAGCATTTAATCGAGTCCACTTTAAAAAAAAAAAAAGAGTTTTCGGGCTAGTACTTCACACACAGACTTTTTGTCTCCATCTGTTAATACAGTGTGGACTTGAAGGCTGAAAATAGAGAAGATGGGGAGCCTCTAATTTGCAGCCCATCTGCCACATGTGCTGCCCTCCAGAATGCTCCGGTACCTCTGATGTTAAAGGGAACTTTTCTCTGTCCTCTGTAAACTCACTCAGTACCATGCAGACACAGCTCTAGCCATGCAATGTACAACCACAGAAGATTAGCAAATAGCTTCCTTCACATTTCAAGTAGAGATTGCAAGCAATATTTCACAGTACCTTCTTCCATTTGTTGTTGTTTTTGAAATCCTTCCTTGTAAAAACATCCAAAAATAGTGTTCTAATAATAATAATAATAATCATTAAAGCTTCCAACACAAACATTCAAACCTCTAGGTAACTAGGGTAATGGTTACCTTTATGGTCTCAGGTGGTACCCCGGGGTCAGGGGCCTTCTCCAGGTAGGTGGTCAGGTCCTGGTCCACATGCTCAAAGACTAGAGTGAGTTTGGTTTCTCTGTCAGTCCGAGACACTGTACACACATCAAACAACCTGGAACAAGAGAAACAGGTGGAGGACATCAATATTGTTGATTTAACGTTGGTCCACTCTGCTCAGCCTGCTGCGACAGAGCGAGCGACCACAGCTAATGAGACTGAAGGTAGAATCAAAACATCTTTTTTCCTTATCTTGTGCATATCATTGTTATGTCCCTAATTGTCCTGCGGAAATGGCCATTGTCTGAAATATGTCCCTTGTTTAACTTTTACCAGTTCCTTCCAGTTTAACCCTTAGTAGTACTGAGTAGGAGCAATCTAAACATTTAACTGGTAATGTCTTCTTTGGAAGCATTTGTATGTTTTTATGTTTTGGCTGTGTTGTGTTAAACCCCTAAAACAATCTATTGGATCTATTTTACACTGGAGAATCGTAACATGTTTTTCTTTCAGGGTTAATAAGGAGTGAGTTGGGCAGTTGAAGACATTTTAAAGACAGGTAGAACTAACGACATTGACTGTGGCTGAAATCACCCACTACAAGCACACTATTACAGTGATTCACCCTTTTGTAGTGCTCCACAAATTCTGAGTGACAATTATTACTTATTTCATAAAACAATGTGTTGTGAAAAGTAGTGTACAACAGACAGTCACTAACCAAGTAATACATAATATCATGCATTACGGTGTTCACGAGAGAAATACGGCCAGCCTGCAACAGTAACGATGTCTTTATCGGTGCTCTGTGCATCGGCAAAAAGTGCAAAAGTGCCAATGAGCTCATAATAAAGTCTTCAACAGAAAAACCAAATGAAGTGCCGAATTAGAATGTGATTTCAGACACAATAATGAATGATGAGTGTTTACGGAGCGCCATATTGTAGAGGGGCTGGTTACTAATGTTACCAGGTTCACCTGTGTGGCTACTGCTACGAAAAGTTTAAGTACATGCATGAAAAATGTGGCTGTTGATGCAGCAAAAAAAAAAAGAAAAGAGTTTGCATTTTTCATTTGTCATTTTTAGCTGGTCAATCAAGCATCACCTACTCTCTCTCCTCGGACATCAGACATCTTGGGCCTTTTGAACCTATTGTCAGTAGGCAGTAAAAAAATAAAAATAAAAAAAAAATAAAAAGGTATGAAAAGCTTCTGGAAATTCAGGACCATCAGGCCTTAAACACATGCACTTATGGTGCTTCACTAGGCAACAAACTAAGGCCAAGAATCCAGATTATGTCAGCCGACCTGCCAAAGCAGGCTTTGGTGAAAAGCTGAAAAAGCTTTCCAGAATGTCCTCTTCAAAGAGCTGGGGACCACAAGCAGCATTCTTCCAGCAGCACTATGACAACTCCTGATGCTCTCTGGGAAGTCGAGTGCCTGTAGCTGCTACAGAGGCAGCATCTTTATCACAACAACACACGAGCTGACGGAGCTGTGAAGATGTATCAAGGTAATGGATAACTGTGATCACATTACCTTTATATTGTGTATTTATTACTACGACTATCAGGGTATTCGAACGAGACAATAAAATCAGAAGTATGATCCATAGAGCAATTTCCAATCTCTGAGGCGAGTATCACAAGAAGGAAGATCGTGTTCCCCAAAGACTTTGACTTAACAAACATTCTTATCATATTTATTGACTTTGAAATAAATGACAAACGCCAACATATACTTTAACGTGTGTAAAACTAATGTGGATGTTCTAAAAAGCTTTCAAGTCATGTAATGACGTGTTCATTCTACAATTCACTAAGCAGATGCTTTTATTCAAAGCGACGTACATCAGAGAGTAAGTACAACACTAATCCATTCATATTTCTATATAATCTATTCACACCGCCACCGAAGCAGCGGGAGCAATGCGGAGTTAAGTGTCTTGCCCAAGGACACATCGGACATGTTGCTCAGCTGGGGATTGAACCCTAGGCAACGACTCTACCAACTGTGCCACAGCCGCCCACATCCGTTCATGACACCCAAAAAATGGCAAAGGGAATTTGAGCAAATATTGACAATAAATAGGGAATGACTATAATTGCTGCAAATGTTAACTGATAGTAACCCTTTCAATGTCATATCAAAACGTCTTCATTTCAAACTAGCTGACCAACATAAGCCATTTAAAATGGATGCATGGAATGAAATGAAATGACTGAACCTCCACAGTCAGTGCGGTGGGTGAGGTATCATTCAAGGTTCTGTGCATGATGTCACAGCATAGACGGCGCCCTCCTCTCGAAGCGCTGAGGTTAGAAGCCCCTCACAGCTCGATTGTTGGGCTACAATGGGGGCTCTTAGCAGACACTGAACATATGGAATGAATAATGGGCCTCATTACAAACATCCAGGGGTTGCCGCGAGTCACACAGAAAGCCCACAATGCACTCTTACTGGTGGTGAGCTGCTATAGGCAAAAGCGGAGAACAGCGAAGTCCCTCTGTTTAAAAACTGCTTTCATGGTCGCAACAAAATGTGTTGAACTTTTTAATAAAATTTACATAAGAGAGCTTTAGTCCAAGATGCATGTCTTCCAGTGAGAACATATCCCATTTTGAAACCATTAAGAGAAAAGCATTATCCTCTATTATTCATTGATACACTGGGGATATATTGTCAGAGGCCCAAGGGCTTCAACTGTGCTTCTAAAACGTCCATTTAGAGCTTCCCCTTCAATCCCAAAGCACTCAATATTCCATAATAAACCTGTACCAAGGCTAGACCTTGGCAAGTTCCAACATATGACGCAGTCTCTGACCTCTGAGTGAACAATTCATTACAAAAGTGAAAGAAAATGGCCTCCACATGCAGAGGAGGAAGGAGGACACAACTCAAAACCAGAGATGTCTTTAACTTGAGTATTTTCACTAAATCCAGTCTGACGTACAGTAACTGAGCTGGGAGAGTGCGAGTGTCTTGCTTAAGGCCACATCAATATTATAGGTGAGTATTGACAGCATTGAACAAATGCAGCCATAATGGACAAACTCAAACCCAGAACATACAAAAAAGCATCAAATCTCTGCTTCACTTATTGTACAGCTATTATAAAACAACAAGATGTGTACTGAATATAGTCTTTCCAGAATAAAAACCTGTAGTTTTCTTCTTTCTGTGGATTTTGTTTCACTGTATTTCAGTCCAGTAACTACCAAGGGAGTTAACATGGTGAAGTTAATATGTATGCTAAATACAGCATGTTATTAGATGGAATTTCATTTAGTTTTACTTTCTTATTTGACATGGACACACAGCAACATTGGTGCTGTAATATTTAACCATGCACAAGTCCCAGATGCACTGCTCTTAGTGTTTCAAAATTCTAGCAGACACATTCATTTACAACAATATAACATATGTAAATGATATTTTGAAAATATTGAAAAAAAAATTTGGGGGGATTCTGATCACTGATTCTTTTTGTTGTTCTGACTGGTAAAGCAAAACCAATCTAATGATGTTGACTTCAGCCTCAGAATAAGGTAAGAGATAGTTTCTTTTTCAATAAATTACATGCAGATGAAATTAGCACTATCATGTGATTACTAGTTTGGAAGGTAACCATGGGTTTTGAATATACGCACAGAGATTTTGAGTATGCGATCAGATCCATGATCGGTTTTGACTGAGTAAAGGTAAGCAACAGAGATCATGCAGGATGGCAATGTGAGCGTAACAGGTTTATGCATGTTCATAAGATATCTGTCAATCATGCCAAATCTGATCCATGTTTTAAATCAACTTTGACATTAGTGCTTAATGAGATCATAATGTGTTTTTTTTTCTCCCACGTATGTGTGTTAAATGCATGCATTCAGGTATACACACAGATCCATGTTCTGCTGGTGAATGCATTTTCTGAACGGGGATAACTTTTTCATAGATGAATACATGAGGAGTTAAGTGTGGTAGGAGAGGATAATGAATGAGATTAAGCTAACAATGAATATAGACAGTGGGACTGAAGGAAGTTGTGATCTGACAGGTGTGTAGCTACTGTCTTCTAATGGTGTCATCAACCAGCTCATTCAGATGACAGTTACAAGATGTCTGCTACCAAAAAAAACAAGAGGACAAGCAGCATCATGTAAGCCTAACCTAAAGGTCAAATGAGGCAGCATGGTCACCACCACAGATCATCAAAAAGGAAGTTGCATGTCTTTATCTTGTACAAAAAACTTCTACCCCCCCCCCCCACCTCTAAAAATAAATTTGCAAATATGCCTACACATCAAAGTATTCACCCACACAGGTCTACCCACCTCTACCCTTCACTTACCTGACAACATTGGGGTGCTCGAAGGCTTCAAGCTGCCTCAGTACCGCCACCTCCCGGATGGTAGAGAGAGGCATCCCCTCTTCCTCCGTCTGGACTCGAACTCTTTTCAAAGCTACAAAGCGTCCCCCGTTCTTCAAATCTCTCGCCTTGTAAACTTTCCCGTAAGCGCCTTCTCCAATCTCGGCCACAGGCTCATATCGAGTCCCAGCACTTTCTCTGTCCATTTTTGCAGATGTGTTTTGTTCCTCGTCTCTTGTTGAAAATATTGAGGGGAATCCCGGCGAGGGTGACGAGCCAGAGAGTTTCTCACAAAGGCATATTCACAGAAAAAAGTTGGCACATACAATGCCTAGATGACAGGGAGACACAGATGGAGGAAGACACCATCTTTGTCAAATCTGTTCAAATGTTGCTCCAGGTAAGCAATAACAGGCTGTCATCATGTTTTATTCCGACTAACAACACAAGAGCCCCGTTGCGTCCGAACTTCCACTCCTCCTCCTATTACGCATAGCAACTCATGTCCTCCTATCACCAACAAAAAGGTAAAATAATTAAAATTCAACACGTTAGCCTCTTTTTAATCTGTGTTTGCTCAAAATAAACTGTCTAGCTTGTGCAACAAAAAAGAATAAAAGTCACCCAACATGCAATGTTGTTAAAAGTTAAGCTCATGTGGGCTGTCTCACTCTCTTAAAGGGAATTAAACTTTTTTTTTTTTTTTTTTTTTTAAAGAGAAAACGCAAACGACGAGAACAAACATTTCACAATAAGTAATTTTAAGCTCGGAAAACAGCAAACCAACTCTTCAACTTTTATCAATGTGCGTGCATGAGGCGACACAAACTTTGAGAGCACGTGGCTGTCTGATTGCATTGTCTGAACTTCCTAAAGCAACAGTCTGTTTAAAACACAGTAAAACTCACCTTTCAGACACGAAACTGTTGTAATTGCGTAAAACAATACGGTAGCGGAGTTTTAAAAGTGTTTTCTTTAACGAAGACAGCTTCCTCTATTTTTTTCTAATTTAATTGCGCGTGGGCTCAAACTAGCTAATTAAAGTGAATTCTAGAAAGGGGAATGGTTATTTTCGGGTTTTAAGGTGCCTTGTAATTTAACATGTCATTTTTAAACACTTTTGCACAATGTTCTGTACAATATATATATATATATATATTTCTGTATAAATATCCAGACTTTTATAGTTTACCTTAGTTTATGTTGTCAATAAAATGTCGTAACGTCGGCATGTCCAATAAAACGTTGTGGAGACACTCGCGTCTCGGATAAAATGTCCTGCATCAAACGCATCACTGTCCACTGTCCTCCATGCGGGGGCCACACAGGTAGTTGGACGGTGCAGGCTCTAACCCCCCATCCCTCTGACTACACCAGGCAGAGAGACACTCAAACAGGGAGGAGGAGGAGGAGAAGTAGGAGGTGGAAGAGGAGATGGTGGGGGGGCTGAACGAAAACTCACACACGCACTCTCACTGCAACTTTGTGGGTGGGGGTGTGGAGGGGAAGGGGGTGTAGCGTGGAGGGAGTTGCGGGGGGGTCATAGGACAAAGGCAAACGCGTGATACAGCCCTCCAAAACCACGCTCTTCTTTGGATTTTCCCCTCTCTTTCTTCTTCTTGTTTCTTCCTTATATCCCCGGATAGGCCCATGCAACTGCAGCCCCGCTCGCCTGTGTGAGCTCCGTCTCTGCCTGGCTTTCCCACGCCGGCTGAATGTGGCCTGACCCCCTTCAGAGAGGTTTGACACGGAGCGGGGACATTTCCGCATTCCTCTCCGACTACAAAGGCTCACCGCCTCCTTTTTGCTCTCCCTCGGCCTCCTCGGTCCTTTACCATTCATAGTCCTCTCCGCGGGTTTTGTCTCCCGTGTCAACCCCGGGAGCACCACGGGGATCAGAGAGGGGAGAGAGGAGGTGTGTTGGATGGACGGCCACACTATCTATCTCTCTCAAAGCATTGAGGAGCTCCTGCAGGAAACAATGCGCCAGCGGGGATGCGATGTGACAAGCTCGCCCTAGATGGACCTGAGGGGTCAGGTTCAAGGCCCGGAGGCTTGATCTGTGGCAGTGGGAGGCGGGGGGAACTCCACTGCTCGGGTGGTCGTTTGCAACCAGGGCCCATGCTGCAGGAGTGTAACCATATGAGCTGCAATATGGAGAACGATTTATTTGGAAAATATGGAGATATTTTTCAGATGATCATTTCAGGATAAATTATAATTCTCCTTGTTAATGTATGCTTTTTACAAAACTGATTGCAACATTAAAAACAATGCTATTGATCAGAAGAGTTCTTCAACTTTAACACGTTTGTTTTCTCCTTCATGCTGGACACGGTTTAGACATGACAAGACTTGATGTCAGATTATCCCTATGAATGGCCAATTACAGGCGTGTAACCCAGCTCTATTATCATAACTTCATTGAAGGCGTGTATCAGAGGCGCACACAGGATCAGAGGAAGGACATTCCTCCAGTGCTGGGATTTACATGCAAACTTCAGCTGCATGCTGCTTTAAAATCCACTGATTTCCATTGACAAGGTACATTTGGAGGAGATAATGACATGGAAGTATGTACAGTATGTTAGTCTCTCCTTCCTAACCTTTCTAGGCAACCCTAAATTTAAAGCATTTGCATCACAAAGCAACACAATGCACACAATGTATCCCACACCAATTACTGTAAATGTAATTTACATTTTTCATCATTGTTCATGTGAAATCAGCTCTGAGAGCCTTCCCCCGGATTGAAATCATTAAAATGCATGCTTCTTATTTGTTTAGAGAACACGCCAATTAGATACTGCATAGGCTGTAGAGATTTAAGACAGACACATGCACACACTCCTTCTGTAACAGTCATTGAGTGAACAATACACAAAGAGGTTTTTTTTTTTATATGCGTTTCCACAAGTCTCTGTGTGTCATGTGTTTACTTTGATGGCGCAACTGTGAGGACTCATTTTTGAAAAGATGCGAGAACAGGATGGTTCCATTACGAACATCTTGTTCTGCAAACATCATGGTCACAATATAATTCATTAATTATAATTGTGGGGTGTTTTGTGGTATTTATAATTAAAAATAGGCTAAAAGAGATATTAAATATATATTTTATGTATATTCTTTTGGATCAATAAAGTACATTATCTATTATTTAGAAACTGCCACTTGAAGCTTTCAACAATGCCGCCTTGTGACATTATTCTAAAAAGGAAGCCTGACATTTATTTTTTTTATCAGGCGACTAGTTGCCTTTTGCAGTTCCACATCTCAGATAATAAGGTCTTTTGAGTGTTGTGGACAGGATGCCATAATTCAGGTTAAAGTAAATATGAGAAATAAAATTTATGGAGAGAAAGCAAACATTGTTGATATTTAATTTTGGTAATTCAATGCAAGTCTATAGTCTCTTACCAATTAAATTCAAGAACAGCAAAAGTACCTTTTTTACATTCAGCTTTAAGCACTACAACTAAAAGTTTATTTATTTTTCATTTTTGAATGGTAGAACTCAAAAAACACAAAAACGGATATATTTGACCATAGTTTCAAGAAAGGCTGCCGAGTATTAGGAAAATATTAAATCTGCAATAACAATGCTCAGTATTGCAATAATTAGTCTATATTAAGTGTGGTAAACAAGATTCAATCAAGTCAAAGTGTATAAGCCATTCGTTGCGTAGTTATTGATCAGCCTCTTAAATGAAGCCAGCCTTTATCTCTATTCATTTATCATATATTTGAAAGTGACAGGACCAGATTAGACCACAATCATTTTGTTAGAAAAATAAGATATCATCGAGTATAAGCTTAAATGTCTCAGGGTCGGGGGGTATTGGATTGGCTGTTGGTAAGCTTGCTTGACATGCGTATTGTTGATTCCGTTGTGTGTACCAGAATGCATGATGACATATTTATATCACTGTTTTTTTTAAGATAACAAAACTTTAAAGAATAAAGTTTTCAAAGAAAGTCACAAACCATAATTTCAACAGTTGGAATTCCGCAGATTGGTCAGTTCTGTGTCTTGTACCTCAAACTGAAAACTTGTCTGTGAACATCATGAAAATCATGAACATCCCCCTAATAACTCCTGACTCATGATGACTGAAACACCTTAGTTTTCTTTCATTATATTTTGGGGATTTTTATTCCTTTATTTAGAGGTAGGATAGTGGATTGAGTCAGAAATCAGGGAGAGTGGGGAATGAAATGGTTGAAAGGAGCCACAGGTGGTATTCGAACCCTGGGCGCCCGCTTGGGGGACTATTGCCCCTATATGGTGCACAGTACCCACAACTCTATCAGCACCCCCCCCCCCCAAAACACCTTAGTTAATACATAAATGAATGCATTAAGATACTGTTAAGACATGTGAATTCCAGATATTTCATTATGAATGCATTCATTTAGTCATGATTCATTCATGCATGAAATTCATGATCATTTGTGGACCCTTATCTAAAGCGTGACCGATTATTTGTGTTTCTGAATGTGTTTCCTTTGTTCTTATGTGTGTGCACGTGGCAGCTGCTGATCAGTCCAGCCAAGAGAGAATTAGGGCCCTCCCAAGGGGGATAAGAGAGGCCAACAAGGGACAGGTGACTCCCAGATCTCCTTACAACACACACACACACACACACACACACACACACACACACACACACACACACACACACACACACACACACACACACACACACACACACACACACACACACACACACACACACGCATACAGAGAGAGGGAGAGATTGATTGTGGGCTTGTCTCCCTGGTCCCACCTAAGTAAAGGGGCATGTCCAAGTCAGAGGGTGCAGTGATAATAACCTGAAGTCCGTATAGGTGGACAGATGTCACGCACCTGGGGAGGAATCCGATAGGATCTGTGACACTAGGTTCCTTTTTAAGTTCACCACCCCTTTGTCAGGATTCACAAGCGTCACTTAATGTGCTTAGTGTGTTTCATGTGAGTCAGGTGTGATCGACCCATCAGCAGATTAATATTTAAGCACATCTTGGGTCTAAAGACAGCACACAGTGGACAATCTGAGTCTGTTTTCGCATCTCCGACTCTTCTCTTCCTCCTTCTTGTCAAGCCAGACTGAAGTCCAGAGTATGTGCACGGCGTGCAAGTAAAGCCCCTTCTCTCCTCTCCTCTCCTCTTCCCTTGTCGTCCTCCTCCTTCTCCCTCCCGGCACCGGCCCCCAGACACAAGCCTCTTTCTGTTGGGGCATCCCCATGGCAACCAAGCCACTAACTTAAGGAGGCGACATAAAAACCTGCTCTACTAGGGGACACAGGAACACCTGCTGCCTCCGCCCGACTGGGGGAGGGGGGGGGGGGTGCTTGATGCCGGGCCACGTGCAGACACACTTAACATACAAATTCATGTGGTCACCCACACACACACACACACACACACACACACACACACACACACACACACACACACACACACACACACACACAAACAGAGGATCATTGTAACATTCAAATGAGACCTCTAACTAACATCTGCTCCCCTTTAGAAGCTCATTTATCTTCTGATAACATCTCAGGTTGTTTGTTTTTTTTAACTCTTGTTCCAGCAAAATCTAAGAAAAGAGCTTCATAAAAACAAATAACTCGTTGTTGATAAGATTTATGGTTTCAGGCTAAGACACGCATCTATCTCTGTTCTACCATTTTAGTTCTGTCTTTTTCACACCAGCGGTTTCTTTAATAAGTAATCATAAAGGACCACCTAACACATGCTCAGATGAGTCACCAGCTCATCCATGCAGCATGAGACTGTACCTGAGAGTGTTTCTTGTTAAAATTGCATGACCTTCAGGGCATTCCTTGATTAAAGGGAAAAGGACCATAAAAATGAGTCTACGAGCAAGTCCTTTGTTTAATGGCACCCCACCTAAACATTTTTAGGTGAATTGCTGTGCTTGATATTAGCAACAAGTGACCTTTCTCCTGTAATCTTGTCTTGCTAGTTTAAGCTTGCGGGAGACGCCGTTCATGTGGAGTAAATGATAATGCAGGCAGGTTGGTAGACAGGCAGGTAGAACATCAAATATTTTTGTCTTATATGCGCACTACGATGTTTTATTTTATTCCTTTCAAGAGCATTTTCAATTTTTTGTTAGGTGTATGGGTGTAAAGAGAATTTTGCGAAAAGGTGCCTCAAAAATAATTTGCTCACATTTGAGCTGTTTTTGCAGGAAAAGGGTTTCTGAGCTGGGAATGATGTCACACCCGAGTTTACCGCGTTGTAGTTTCAAGTTGGCAACAAGTCGGACAAGCAACATGGACGCCTCCAGGAGTACCTTTGTTTTGTTAGCTAATACCTGGCAATAACAACACACTGCATGATAGTTTGTGTGCGATTAATTGAATTAAACAAAAAGAGGATTAAGTTTCTAATAAGCACAATAGCTACATCCGTATTGATTTGACAGACTACTTGTGTTGTCCATAGTTAGGCAAGTAGCTGACGTGATTGACAGGTTGGCGCGATGTAACAGTTTGTCAGGAAGCTTAACACCCGCCTCAGCTCCAGTTCTCAGCTTGTCTTTAGGTTGACTGAAATTTAAGCTGAGACAGGATTTCCAGCATGAACCTCCGTATAGCCCCCTGCTGAGACACATGGGTGAGGTCACTTAATATTTACAGTCTATGAATGGAACGCAGTAAAAGTCCAGCTGAAACAAATAGCACAAACGATGACACAGTTTCTAACATCCCAGTAACCATGACAGTGAACAAGCCAGCTCAGTAGAGTACCGCAAGCTTGCTCAACAGAATGCAATACATCTGATATAATGTTATTAATTACACCTGTGTTTACTGCCATGACAAGACAAACAGTCTGTTGTGAAAAAAGACTATTAGCATAGCCCATATATGCAACTGTTACTATTATTTGAATGGAT